CCCTTTTCTAGGCAGCAACCTGCCTATAGGCACCACGGAATCAGAGTCTTGTTTTACATGTGCTTATTTCTGAATGTAAAATTATTATTTGATTTCCTTTGATTATTCTTCCCCCCCCCCCTTTTCCTTTCCTCCTCCTCCTCAGCATAGCAAGGGACTTCTGACAGTCTCCTGTCTTGGTATCTTGAATGCAGGGTTTACGGGGGGGGGGGGGGGAACGCAAATGGCATGCATGTAGAGGTCAGAGGAGACCCCCAAGTGTCCTTGCCTTCCACTTTGTTTGAGAAAAGTTCCTTTGTTTTCCACTGTGTATTCAGGCTAGCTGGCCCAAGAGCTTCTGGAGAGTCTCTCTTGGGCTTCCATCTCGTCACAGAAGCACTGAGATCACAGACACCCTGCTGCAGCAGGTTTTATTTAGGTTCTGGGGAGCCAAACTTTGGACCTCACATCTGCATAGTAATTACTTCACCCACAGAGCCGTCTCCTGAGCCCCTAAAATTCAGTGGTGATTGACACAGTAGCTGTGTGTATGGTTACAGGGTCCTGCGGGAGATTGCCTGCCGGACATGATGCGAGGGATTAGAATGGTGGGCTGAAGGCCTCCATCTCCTAGAACATGCCTCACATTTCTGCACTGGAGCCGACTCCATGCTCCTCTCCTTGGGCCTCAGAAGGTTTGTGGAAGCTTCCTTGAACCCCCATGTGTGTGGAGCCACAAGTCCCATGCCTCTGGGTCTTGGCACTTCCTCTCCAATCCTGTCCTCATCCAGCAACCACTCTTCTGCCCTCTACAAATCAGCTGTTTTTACCCACATTTGTATTTCCAAATTATAGGAAAGTAACACAGGCAGTACAGGCCCTGGTAAGTCTCAACAGCCACGTCCAGTTTATAACATTTGGGATTATGGATGGGAAGTTACCCAGATAGAAATTATTACAACAATTAGCTTGGGTGGGAGCTGGGAGGTAAAGGTAGGTTAGAGGGTTAATATCTGCCCTGTCCCAGGTAAGATAAGGCTATTCCAAAATCTTTCAGGTGTCTGTGTCTTTTATTTATTATTATAATAGCGGGTTAGATAATATTCCCATAATAATTATAGGGCTAGGGCTGGAGAGATGGCTCAGAGTTTAAGAGCACTGGCTGTTCTTCCAGAGGTCCTGAGTTCAATTCCCAGCACCCACATGGTGGCTCACAACCATCTATAAAGAGATCTGGTGCCCTCTTATGGCATGCAGGTGTACATGCAAGCAGAACGCTATATACATAATAAATAAATAAAATTTTCAAAAATAATTATAGGGCTAATCCTAAGCATTATTAAGATGCACTTTTAAGTTAACCACAACGATGTACTGTCATTGATTTGATATTTTCCATGCCTCGGTGTAGACTTTCTTGTAGCCATCGTTACCAGGCCTCATGTCTTTCACCTCTTGTATTGGCACTGTCAATGCTCCTGTCTCCAAGTGGATTCTTGTTATCACAGGAGTGAAGTGGGAACAGACAGGCTGCCAGAAGACCCTGCAAAACCAGCTTGTGCTGCTTGAGTCTGTTTTCAGTTGCCGCAGCATTATTCAGACTGCCTTTGTCTGAGTGCTGCTGGAACCCCTGGGAGACCAAAACAAAAAATATATACCTTGCATGTTAAGGGTTCTCTTTGAAGTTAAGACGAAGAGTAGCTGTTTGTCCTATGCTTATTTGACCCATCTCTACTGACGTGCTTGATACCTGTGGGCAGGAAGTATGTGGCAGGAAATATGTCAGGGTGTATGATTGCCCTTGATGGGAAGTGCAATGAATTACGGGTTTCCTTTTTTTTTTTTTTTTTTAAAGATTTATTTGTTTTATGATATGAGTTCTCTGTCTGTGTATACACCTTCATGGCAGCAGATCACATTGTAGATGGGAACCACCACGTGCTTGCCGGGAATTGAACTCAGGACCTCTGAAAGAGCAGACAGTGCTCTCTTAACCCCTGAGCCATCTCTCAAGCCTGGGGTTTTACCTTTTCAAGATCCTGCAGAACATAATTCGTGCCTGTTTTCTGGGAACCCAGAGATGGACCTGGCCATAACTCATTCACCTGGCCAATATTTGCTTAAAGTTTGCTTCAGATTTGGCTCTAAATTGTAGCACTTGTTTTTCTCTCTCAAATCTCAGGATTAACATCTGGAGACCGCAGTGAGATGAGAGAAAAGCCATTCTACCTCAAATTCTGGAGTTAGGCTCTTCACTCAGGGACCGGTGGGTTACCTTGTGGGTGCATTTTGGAATATAAATTCAAAGCTCCAGAGCACACCTTCAGTCCTCTGGACTCCCCGCAGTGAATAACCATGTTAGAAAATGAAGATAGCAAGCATTTTTAACAGAGGCCTCCTTTGGGTGAGTCGTAGAAGCCTGTTTTAGCTTCCTGTGGCATTTTTCTGCTTATATGGTACCTTGGAGGTCTATGAACCCTCATTCAGGGCAAAGAGAGAGATCCCAGAGCCCACTGTTATTTCTGGTTAATTGGAGTTCAGCCGGAATCATCGGTTTTTCCCTTCTACCCCGCCTTGGAGATCCGAGGACCCCCTGGTGAGACCGGGCTCCGGTGTACTCAGAGAGGACCAGCACCTTGGTACCTGTCAACAGGGTCTCAACACCTCAGCTGCACAGCAGAGGTAAGGAAACACGGGGGTGTTCTATAACACCGGGGGCCAAGCTGAGGGCTTGGAGAGGTCCAGCGTGGGTCCAGGAGCCGAGAACTAGGAGACGGGTTCCGAGTGTCTGGGTTGTGTGGGAAGTTATAGAGTGCCCTTCTATTTGTTAAGATAATTTCTCTTGGTCAGATTGGTGGACTTCTGAATGACTCCAGCTGTTGATTTTGCCTTGTGTTTTCTGTTGTTGCTTTGGCTGGGTCTTGTCTTACATCTGTACGTCTTTCTGACTCAGGGTGACTAAATGGACAAAATGGCAAGACTGATAAACTGGAGTGCTACTCCAGTGACCACTCGAGAAACAGTGGAGCTTTCGGGACATGGGGTTTGATGGCAGTATGTGGGGGTGCAGAGTGGAATGTCCAGGTCCGTGCTTGGGGCTCGATGGACAGCTTGGAGGTGCCATTGAGCACCCAGTGTCCATGTGCAGCCGGAGCCTCAGCTCAAGCACCGTGCCTTGTAACTGTTTGCTACAGCACTACCAGGCAGCTCCTACCTTGGAATTACAACCCTGGAGGAGGTAAGTTTTGTCTATTTGTGTGTGTGTGTGTGTATTGATGGGTCTATGACTTCTGATTTGCCTGCAAGGTTTGTTGCAAACATGAATTTTGGAGTTTTTGTTTTTTTAAAAAATACAGAACTATTATGTCTTTTTGTTTTAATCCCAGGTGTGGGATATGGGATTGCTTTCAGATTGTTCACAGCAGCTGACTATAATTTGTCTCGTGCTCTAGCACGGGCTAAGCCCCGGTGTGATTTTGCCAGTTGCAGATAGCTCCTACAGCTGTGTAGCATTTGAAATTCTGTGGACTTGGGCTGTAGAGATGGCTTAGAAATTTAAAGCACTGGTTGTTCTTCCAAAGGTTCTAAGTTCAAGTCCCAGCAACCACATGGTGGTTCATAACCATCTATAATGAGATCTGGTACCTTCTTCTGGCCTGCAGGCACAATTGCAGGCAGAATACTGTATAAATAATAAATTAATTAATTTAAAAAAATTCTGGGGCTTTTCAGAGGGTTTTAACTGCTAGGGTCCTGAGAGGCAGGGTGGGTTGTTGGTTGCTGTTGGATGCAGTTTATTAACTAGTTATGTGCAAAGAAGAAACAAGAAGAAGAAATAGATATCCTGAGAGCAAAGATCAAACCTGCCTCAACAAGTGTAGGATCGCATATGACGCACATAAAATAAGTAAATCCAGCCGGGCGCTGTGGCGCACACCTGTAATCCCAGCACTCGGGGAGGCAGAGGCAGGTGATCCCGTGAGGCCAGCCTGGTCGAGGCCAGCCAAGGCTACACAAACCAAAATACAAAACCAAACCAAACCCAAAATAATAGCAATTAAAAGGGAAAAACATGCTTAATGCTAGTGTCCAGGTCTAAATTCAGGTCATTCCTTTCCAGCAAATAAGCGGAAAAAAGACCAAGGAATGGAAATGGGTGAGCTGAGGAGAGCCCACAAAGCATAGGGCCAGCCACCATGTGTTTAGCCATTTCTAAGACATTCATATATTTTCTCTTCAACGCTGTTCACTAGAGGCCCAAGTGGGGAGGGGTTTCCAGTGCAAACACGCTTGCTGTTCACGTGTTAATGTGGCATCTCCCCCGGACGTTTAGCAACACTCCGCTTCACCTAATCAAAGGCGTCCAGACGTGGTGTCCCGACATTAAACTTTTATTTTTCTGAGTTGAAGCTCCAACCAGGACCTGTTCTGGGATCCCACCCCAGAGCCTCGTTCAAGCCTGCCGTGCCCGGCGCCGCCACTGCCACCGCAGGACAGGAGCTTCCTCGAAACCAGGGGGCTAAAAGGGCTCACGTGACTGAAGAGACCAGGAAACCAGCGTGAAGCGGCGTGCGCAAGAAATTTGGGTGCTGTGGGCGGGGTCAGCGCACGGAGCACTGGGAACTGGGCGGTGGCCAGGCGCACGGGATTCTGGGAGCCGAGCGCGCGGAAACCTGGGAACTGGCTGGAGCCGTAGAGAGACGAGGGACCAGGGGCGGAGCGAGGCGCGGGGAGACCTGGGAACGGGGGAGGGCGGGCGGAGTCGCCCAACGCGCGAGCCTAACGGCTCAAGACGATGCGCGGGAGTCCACACCGCCGAGGCTCCGCCTTGCGTGGGTTTGAACGAAGCTCCGCCCCGCACTCCACCAATCGGCGCTCGCGCGGCGGCGCCATGGCGACCCTTTGTGGGCGCTGACTGGTCCCGGCGCCCGACGGAGTGGCGGGCCTGCCTGGCGGCGCAGGTAAGCGAGTGGGTGGTTTGTTCCTTCGAGCTCCTGTGGCCCGGTCGGCGGCCACGCAGAGCACCTCCGGGCCGCTCGGGCGGCGGCAGGGTGCCCGGGCCTCCTGCGCCCGCCGCCCTTTGGCGCTCACGACGCTGCAGCGTTTTGAGTGACAGACATACCGAGAGCCGGAGCGGCGCGTCTGAGCCGGCCCTCCCGCCCACGCTCTGTTGCTTCCGCCCTCTCTTCTTCCTGAGTCCTTTCCTCTCTGTCTGCTTTCTCCTTTCCTTTCTCTCTGTCCCTCCTCGGTTCAGCCGCGGTCGGCCCTCCGGTTCGTGGCCGCCCCTGCCTGTGCGTGGCCTGCAATTTTGGGGCACTGTACTTTCCCTGGCCTCTAGCAGCGCCGAGCCCCGTGCATCTGCCTGCTTGCCAGGGACCGACTTCAAGAGGGCTGGGTGGGCACCCTGCAGCCGCCTGCTTGGTGAGTGTTGGCCTTGTGTTCTTTTCTTTTGTTTCTTGTGTTTTGTTTCCCCTGAGAAGGTTATGAAGTGACTTGTGTTGCTTACACTTCCTCTACTGCTATAGACCTCACTTCCCTCTGAAGTGATCATTTGTGGCCCAGTACATACTGGAATGGCATTGGTGGAACTCTGCTGGACGCTGCTTCTAGCTTCAATAGCCTGTCCTGAAGTGCCAGAGACCGTTTTTAGTTTCCCTCCCCCAGATACGATTACCAAGGAAGGGGCTTCTCCCCGAACCTGGGACAGAAGTACTGGTCCAGACAGCACCTTTATATTTTTTCCTGGTGGCCTTTGTAGTTGATGTACCAGACAGATGGCAGGACTGAGCTAGCCATTAATTTAAATGATCTCAGGGAACACTGCATGTAAAATGAAGTTTGATGTCTCATCAATCGCCTGCATACAGCCATGTCTTGATTTTAGAGATGAAATTTAAAAATCCAGTCAAGAATCTCCTCCCCATTTTAGAAGTGCTAGTCTTAAAAGGAAGGTAAGGCAGGTTCTCTCAGGTTGTCACTGGAACTTACCTCTAGGCAGAAGAAAGCCCTCATCCTTCCAAGGGTAACTTGAAGAAGGGCTTTCTAGTAACCTTTTATACAAAAATCTCAAGCAGACATAGTGGGACAATAAACTCCATCAAATAGCCATGAAGTTCACTGGCCTAGCAATTTCCCAACTTGTTTCCTCCTTCCAATTGCCTTTTGAGGAAATATTTTAATGCAGTCATGATTTTGGTTTTTGAGACAAGGTTTCCTGTAGCCCGGGCTAGCTTCAGACTGACGCTGTAACTAGAAATAACCTTGAACTCTTATTCCTCCTTGTCTCTGCTTCCCAAGTGTTGGGATTACAAGTATGCCACCAGGACCAGCTCTGAAATCACTAAATTCTGATTCACCTTTAAATCCTACATTCATATGGGTGCTTGATTGTGTTTATAGACCAAGCCCTGGTTGGGATGGGTCTGCTCAGGTAAAACCAAGACTGATGATGGTCAAAGCCCAGGAAGCTACATTTCCATCCAGTCACTGAGGTAGGAAACCAACTCTAGGGTATGATGGTTGTGGAGTCCTAGTCAGTCTCTTTAACTCACGTTGTTGTAGGGTAATCACTCTCACTTCACCTTACAGTGTTGAGGCCTCTGCTGTCCTCAGCACTGTATCTGAGTCCCAGGCCTGCCTGGCTTTCAACATTCAGCCAATGCTTGGGCTGGAGAAAACCTGAAGGCAGGGCTGTGGGTTGACGTAACTTTGGGTTGAAGGGATGTTAGACAAGACATTCTGGCCATCTGGAAGTAAGATGTGAGATGTGGAACATAGTTTATACAGAACTTAGCAGGAAGAACTTCTGTCACATTTCATTAGAAGGATTAAGCAACCTCGGGTCAGGCACACAGGTGGCCACAGAGAGCGGTGCCCAAGCAGTCTAGGAGAACCCCTTGCTGGCCCTGTAGGACTAGTCAGAACCTGTGCTGCTGGTACAGGCCTTCACCTGCAAGCCCCTCCTTTCTCTTGGTAGTAGTTACTCTGTCACCGTCCTGTTCTCTCATGGCTAGGTTCTAGGGTAACAGGTAAGCAAACAGAATTGTATATTTCATTCCAGGGCTTGCTTGTTGGCTGGTTTATTGGTATATCTGTCTGTCTGTGTGCTTGTGCATGCACACACACCTGAGGCCGATGGAGGACATTGGATCCAAAGAACTGGAATCATAGGCGGTTGTAAGCCATCATGTGAGTTCTGGGTACCCAGCCTTCATCATCTGTAAGAGTCATCTCTCCAGCTCCACCTTGTCTAAAAATCTTTAACCCTGAGGATGGTGAACAATACTGAAGGACATTGTCTGTCCCTAGTAAGAGAGGGGATGTTGGTTAAAGCTCTGCTGTGTAGGAGTTATGTGTACCCTAAGGAAAAGGGACAGAGAGAGTGTTTAACCTGCAGAGTTAGTAAATCAGAAGTATTTTGATAGCAAATGTGTAAAAGTTAATGCAGAAATTGATGAGAGCTTATGCTTTCTAGAAAACAGTTTGATACAGTTATTAAGGGCCTTCAAAATGTTTCTGCCCTGAACCCTAGTACTAATCCAGGGTTAAGTTAAGGGTATAGAAATCAAATACCAGGAATAGGAATCATCATCTGTGACAGAGCCTGTGCATGGCACTGGTGTAGGCTTCCTGCTGTGCTTGTGCATACAGGTAGGCACACACTTATCAGAAATGATGATCCGCTTGTTACGTAACATGATAAACAACTTGCTATTGCTTGGGAAGAAGAAAAGGGTTGGGAGAACAGATCTAGAGGATTTCTCTGGTTAGAAATTTGTGGAGTTTCTGTTTGATTGGTTTTTGTTTTTGTTTTTTTTTTTTTTTCAAAACAGGGTTTCTCTGTGTGACTGCCCTAGCTGTCCTGCAACTCAATTTGTAGACCAGGCTAGCCTTGAACTCACAGAGATCTGCCTGCCTCTGGCTCCGAAGTGCCAGTATTAAAGGCCTGTGCTACCAGGCTCAGCTTTGTAGAGCATTGTTTTGTGACTTGATTCTCTTCCAGATTGTCTACTGAGCTGTAGAAATAACCAACCAGACAAATGAGACCAGGTAGAGGCTGTGTGTACAACAGGGCTTCTGTAGCCAGGAATTGGTCTCACCACTATTTAGCAGTCTTGAGGAAAGCTCTGCAGTGGGGTGGTTAGGGGTGGACTGACTAGGTGATGAGCATTTCCTGTGTGAGAAACAAGACCTTCATTCTGTAATAACAAATTTAAGAGACTTGCAGAAGCAAAACCATTTTAATTTTATGATTCTGCAGAAACAGATGCCAGCCAGCACAAATAGCTTCCCAGTTTGGCACAGAAAGTGGTTTTTAAAGTGAAAAATTCTGCCTTTTTGGTTTTCTGAGTCAGAGTCTCATTATGTATCCTTGGCAGGCCTGGAACTTATATGTGGACCAGGCTTGCCTTGAACAGATCCACCTGCCTCTCTAGTGCTGGGATTTAAAGGTTTATACCACCACACCCTACAGTTCTGTCCTGTTTTTCCCATAGGCTAGTTCTCCAGAGAGATAAAAATCTTCACACTTGTGTAGCACAGCCTCCTCGATGGATTCCCCATCCTATTCCGAGCCTCATCTGTTGGATATTACGCGACTCCAGGTTCCCTCCTTCTCTTGTGGGCTCAGTCACATAGTAGACTGCAACTTTTCAAACTTTGGATGAACTAAGGGGGCCTAGACAAGCAGGGCCAGCTGCTACCTAGAGAAAACAGGGCTCTAGTGCCTCTTTCCTGTCTGTGACTCTCCAGTGAGCACTGAATAAACATCATACTTAAATTAGACCATCATTTATTTTTTACACCCTGTGGCTGACTTTAGTAGGTATTTGCCCCTTTGGTAGGCCAGATATGACACCAGAGGTGTTAGCTTTTTATATTTTGATTATAGAGCATTTGTGGGGCAGTTACTGATGAGAGGCCTAGAGAGTCTGCTGGTTTCCAGGCTGTTTCTAGGCTGGTCATTGCAGAATTGTTTCTTTGCTCCAGCCAGAAGCATTTATACTTTCTCTTGTAAGACCACATGCTCATGGGTGCTTCTGGGCTTTCTTTTTTGGCGCTAGTATATTCTTAACACTACCAACTGCTGTCGAGTCCATCTGTGGCTCAGCATTAAGTCCGCTTTCCATCCCAAAAGAGGCACTAGAGCCCTGTCTGGATTTCAGAATTAGGTGTGCTTTATTTGGGTACACCCACCCAGGGATTTGTGGCTTGGGGTGCCAAGGGGATTCATGCGCAGTATTAACTTTGTGTTGGGGCCAGGGTGTGAGTGTAGCTCAGGCTGCCCCTTTTGGCCAATGACCTACCTTCCTGCCTGTTGAATACAGGGTTCATAAGTGTGTGTTACTGGTTTCAGTGTACTTCACAACTGCCTCCAAATGTGAGGTGCGAGTCTCTGAAGCCTGCTTATCTTTTTTTCTTTCTCTCACTTTGATTTTTGTTTTGTGACCCTTGGTTTAATCAGGGTTCCTTGGTACATGGGTAGGAATTATTTACTGGAGCATGGGCAACTTAATTGGGTGGCTACACCACCAAAAACAATGACTCCCTCCCCCAGACACCTTTCTTGTACACCTCCCCCATTCATGAAGGAATTATAATGGGGTCCCATCTTGTACACATAACCACAGCTGCTGGGATTTCATGTGTGTAGCAGCCGTGTCATATCCTGTTGGGGGATGGTCTTGTGCACTCTGTATTCAGACGTTGATTCCTGTGTTCAGAGATCTGGTTGCATTCCAGATGTGGCCATTGTCATTTCTTTGGACAATCTCCAGTCTGAATGCTGTGTAAAAATTGTTCTCCATCATCTCTGATTGGTTTCCAAACAGAAAGCAGTTAGTTTCACTTGTAATAGTCATGCCCTTATTTCTCCTGTGAGCATCTTTTGTTTTGCAGATTGGTATTTTAGTTTGCAGGTTCACAAAACAAAACAAAAAAACACTGAGGACTTTGCTCTCTTCAGCCTGTACTCCATTTGCTGGTACTATGAAAGCTATCCAGAAGGGAGAATGGCCAGTTCAGGAGTCCATTCTTCTTCTTCTTTGTCCTTTTGTGAGTTCTCACTGCAGCTTGCTTCTCAGTGCCCTCAACTAGGGTTTAATTCATGTTATATGAGCTAGTTTGGTTTGAATTCTATGTTAAATTGAATGTCCAAAAGAACAGTTGGACTTTCAGAAATAACCCTGAAACAAAGGTAAAGGGACTTGCCAAAGAAAAACTTTTGGGACTTTCCACTCCCAATCCAGGCTTTCTTGTTATAGTTTGACATAGTACATTAATTCTCAGTAAACTTACAGTATTACTCTAGTGGCTTTAAACATGTAACTGGTTTTTTAAAAAATGGGAGAAAAAAGTCCAGTGTTCATTAGATTTGGCATACGCCTATAATCCCTCCTCCCTGGAGGCCAAGGCAGAAGTATTTCAGAACAGCCTGATAAACATAGGTCCTGTTACACATACCTACCAGCACCAAAACAGACATTTCTGAAATGCAAAGTTATTTTTCTGTTGCTGTGATAGAATAACCTGACAAAAAGCAACTTAGGGAAGAAAGGGTTTGTTATGGCTTGCAGTTATAGAAGGGATACACTTAGTCCGTCATGACAGGGAAGGTGGGGCAGTGGAAGGGTGAGGTCAGCCTGGTAGTCAGGAAGCAGGGTGATCACATGCCATTTGTACAGAGGAAGTAGAATGGAAAGTACAGCTAAAGTATAAAACTTCAAAGTCTGCCCCCGGTTTTAGATATCTTTCAGCAAGGTTTTACCTCTTAAAGATGTCATAACCTAGATAGCACCATTAGCTGGGGACAAGTATCTACACATGAGCCTATAGGGGGACTGTAGGCAAAAGGTTATTGTGCATCAGATGCTGATTTCTGTATCCCCGGTATCTGGTTGCAAGCCTTGTTCTGAAAATCTCAGTGTTGTGTAAACACTGCTCCCTGATTGTCCTCTGATGTGCCAGTAAAGTAGATTACAGCCAAACACCGAGCAGGGGAGAGAATAGGAATGGACTTTATGCCCTCTGGGGTGAGGTGGGGGGTTAGAGAGAAGGAAATAGGTGATTGAGGCAGTGTCAGAGATCCAAGAGAGATCAGAAGATGGAGCTGGAGCAAGGGAAGTTTCAAAGTGCAAGTAGCTCTGGGATGTACGCTAGGAGGAAACCAGAATAGCTTAGAGGGTCAAGAATAGAGTGATAACTGCTCAGTTATTGTTGTGAAGCTTATTAAACAAATATAAAAGAGTCTCAATTATTTGTGTGATAGCAGGGTTGAGAGAAACTAAGAGAAAAAAACAAACAGTTATACAAAAATAACTAGTGGGACAGTTCTTGTTCAACCTAAGTTTATTTATTTTTAAAGACTTTTATGTATGTATATTTTGCCTGTGTGTATGTCTATACCATATGCATACAATGCCTGCAGAGGCAAGAAAAGGGTGTCAGATACCGTGAAAATGGAGTTAATGATGATTGTGAGGCATCATGTGGGTGCTAGGAATAGACCCTGGGTGCCCTGGAAGAGTAGCAGTGTTCTCAACCACTGAACCATTTCCAGCTCCAAATCCAACAGAATTTGCCTGCTACGGTGTCACCCAGAAGCTGGGAAGCAGATGCTGGCCTGGTTTACACAGTTAGTTCCAGGACAGCCAGGACTACCTAGTGAGACCTGGTTCAAAAAAAACAAAACATAACCTTGGATATTCTTACCAGTAGCAATTTAGGTGCTTTGTGTTTGTGTGTATGTATGTGTGAGAGCCAGAGGCCAATTTCTGATATCTTCCCAGTTGCTCTCCACTTCAGTTATGCAATTATTATTCAATTATTGAGGCAGGGTGTCAGATCAGTCCAGAGCTAGCTAGCCTGCTCCAGGGATCCCTATTTTTATATCCCAAGCTCTGCGGTTGGAGTTGGGCCACCGTACCTGTCTGGCATTTACATAGATGCTAAATATCTGAACTCTGATTCTCACTCTGTGTGGAAAGCATTTAACCTGTGGAGTCGTTGTCCTGGCCTCATCTTTTCTATTTTTAGATTGTTCTCTTTGTAATGCCTGCACATATAAGTATGTGCTTTCCTAGAACTTGAGTTATGGTTTTGAGCCACCATATATAAGTACTGGGAATAGTGCCTGGTTCCTCTGGAAGAATAGCCAGTGTTCTTAACCACTGAGCCATTTCTCTGGCCCCTCTTATATCTCCTTGCCTTCATTACAGGATAGGTGAAATTTGAAGAGCATGCATGGGCAGGTAGTACTACCTGCTTGCTTTGCTGGGGATAGTCTTGTAGGAAAAAACGAGCGGTCAGCATTAGTTGTCTTGAGATTCCAAGTTTCTTATATGAAGGTGCATTCCTCTCTTACTTAGGTTGAGGTGGGATGTGTTGGGAGCCAGGCACTATATGGCTAGCACACTTGTCCTGGCACGTTCTCTCACCTCATATCTACACCCACCCTCTGTGGTCCGCTGCTGCCTTGTCTTGCCATTGCCAGAGTATAAGGAGAATGGAATTGCCTTGGGTGTGGCCTCTGGAGAGGCTGTAGTTTTCTGGCCCAGAGTTCCAATGGGAGTCCCAGTTTCAACTGGATTGTTTCCAGTTTGGGGCTGCTGTGAGTAGAGTACTATGAACATTCTTGTACAAGTTTTTACATGAACCTTAGCTTTCATTTCATTGAAACAAATGCTCAAGAGGTCACATAATATGTAAAGATCTGTGACTTTGAAAAAAGAAAAAAGGTAGCCTTTTTTGTGTCTATAAAGAAGTCCTAAGAATAACTTAGCATTTAATTTCAAATGTATTATTTGAAATAAAAATAAAATAAAGAATAAATATAAATAAAACACTAGTAATTGGAGATATGGCTCAGAGATCTTGTCACAAGGATAAAGACTGGAGTTCCTATCCCAGTTTTCTCAAAACAAAAATACCACCTTAAACAAATAACATCTTTCTCCTATTTGTGTTCATTTGTCTGTTGATGAAAATTATGCTACAACTTGAGCTTTGTTGTTTGTGACAGTGTCTGTGCCTTAGGCAGCCTCCCAGATGGTGTCTCTGGCACTTCTCTGTTACCTCTTCTAGCTGTCAGAAACTGTCCTGGGTACTGTCATCCAGGAAGCTGAGGTATGCTAAATGCTGTCTTCCTTGGTTCCCACAGGACAGGATGTTTGCTAGAGGGCTGAAGAGGAAATATGGTGACCAGGAGGAAGGAGTAGAGGGTTTTGGCACTGTCCCTTCCTATAGTCTGCAGCGGCAGTCACTCCTGGACATGTCCCTGGTCAAGCTCCAGCTCTGCCACATGCTAGTGGAACCTAACCTCTGCCGCTCGGTCCTCATTGCCAACACAGTCCGGCAGATTCAGGAGGAAATGAGCCGAGATGGCGTGTGGCATGGGATGGCACCCCAGAATGTAGAACGGGCACCAATTGACCGCCTGGTATCCACAGAGATCCTGTGTCGTACAGCAAGAGGAGCTGAGGGGGAGCACCCTACTTCTGAACTGGAAGATGGTCCCTTACCAAGCTCAGCTTCCGAGCTTCCCATAGTCAGCTCAGCACAGGGGCAGAGGAACCCTCAGAGCAGCCTCTGGGAGATGGACAACCCACAAGAAAACCGGGGAACCTTTCAGAAGTCACTGGACCAGATATTTGAGAACCTGGAGAACAAAAGCCCCAGTTCAGTGGAGGACCTCTTCTCAGATGTGGACAGTTCCTACTATGACCTGGACACGGTGCTAACAGGAATGATGAGTGGCACCAAGCCCAGTCTCTGTAATGGCCTTGAGACCTTTGCTGCAGCTTCTCCTCCACCCAGCTCCACTTGCAAGTCTGACCTGGCTGAGCTGGACCATGTAGTAGAGATTTTGGTGGAAACCTGAGAGGAGGCCCTCGTGGGCCAAGGACAAGGCTACACTTCCCATGGAGCTCACTTGTACTGTGACCCAGAGACAGACAAGCACTTGTCCCAAGAGGGGCTCTGACTCTTCAGCCAGGCCCCCTCCTCTCTGTCTGACTGAAAAATATCCTGGACAGATTTTCCTCTGCAAGGGCTGCAGCCCTGGCTGCCCTCAGGGCTAGTTCCCTGAGGAGGGTGGCAGATGCCATCTCCAGGACTGAGCTCTCTGAAGGCTTCTGGGCCCTGGGCTCATTTTCCTGTTGGTGTGAGGCTGGGATCACTGTGGAGGATGGTGTGCACAGCTGTGTCTAGTCTATTTTACAGATAGGCGAACTTTCTAAAATTAAGTTTTAAATTTGGGCAATATTTTGTCTTAAGATATATTTTTTAAACTTTTTATACTTTAGTATTTTTTTTAGCTATTTTCTTAAAAGTATATTTTTTCTACAAACATCCTCTGCTGCTACGTTAGAAACATTTATAACCTAAATAATTACAATTGGTGTGTCGTTCTTAAGGTTTAAATAGAAAACTTTTTTGTTAATGAGTCCACTCCCAAAGCAACTGTAAATGTAGCCAGGGGTTTGCGGGAGAGCCTAGCTCCGTTATGGTCTACATTCTATTAGCGTGCTTCAAATGAGAACCATGCACAGCTCCACTGCTCCCTCACTGGGTCTGCTCTACAAGTGCTGTCTTCCTAGGCTTCAGTATGCAGGGTGGTTTTATTTATGCCTATTTATATGTAAATGCCACTGAAGGCTAAGGCCAAATGTCTGGAAATCACAGTACCAGTTCTTCAGAGATAGCTGTGGCAGGCAGTGCCTTATGTAGTCTTGTCCTTGGCCATCACTGTCTTGTTCCCACCACAGCACTGTGTGTGACAGGAGGCCATGACATCCTGACAACACCCAGGACTGCGTACTCCCTGTTAGGTGCATACATGGAGGCTGCTGGGTGCCAGGCATGTTTGTACTTGGAAAGGGTATATACCCCATCCATGACCTCACTAGGAAATACTGTGCTTGCTTGCTTTTAAAATGGTGCTCAAACATTTTAAGGTGAAAAACAATCTGACTCTATATAATTTTAGGGCCCCTCCATCCCAGGGTCCTGCTACCTGATCACGTCAGACTCCTCCCCCATGCATGTTTTCTGTTTCTCGTGTGCTTTTTTAGACTTACCCACCTGAGCCTAAGAGGTTTTATTTTGTATGTATGTATATGACTTCCTTGATACCAACAATGTAAACCTCACTTTTTATTAAAAGTATCCAGCAAATGGAATGTGTTATGAACTTTTTTCCTTCTTAATCCTTCAAGTGAGCTTGCCGTATCTGTGGTTTCAGCTTTTTATATGCTGTGTAATATAGACAACTTTTCTTTTTGTGTTAAACAGGCATTGGGTTTATTTTCCTGACCTCATAGCTCCCAAGGCAAAAATCTCCCTTACCTTTTAGGTCCTGCCTAAGGCCTCTAGGAAATCTGTAGGAACAGACTGGATGAGCCCCAGGTCTATGAACACAGATCTCAAGGATTCCTCTTTATAGGTGCTCCTGGCAGCCTGCCCTAACAGCTGCTTTCTTGCAGACTATCCCCAGCCTTCTCATGCCCAGGACTCATACAACCTCATCTTTTTTTATAAAGCACTCCAAATGTGTGCAAATGTTTGGACACAACATCTTAATCAGGGATAGTGTAGGGTCCTTTCCCTTCTCTGAGGATCTATTCAAAGTTAAGAGTTGGGGGGAGGGAGTTCTGTTCTAAATGGTGTAGCCACGGACAGTGGCTCCCATTCTCCAGTAAATAATATTCTACGCACATTTCTGCTTGCAACCTAATTAAACTGGGCCACATTTTTTAAAAAGACATGGAACTGAGATTCAGGAAGAAGGGTTCAGAGGGAGAACGGAAGATATTACTACAATACATGTATAAAATGGACATTCTTTAAGTCCCAAATACACAAGCTGCATCCATTCCCCCCTGCATCCCTTTAGACAGTTAATTTTGATGCGTTGCTTTAGAGGTAGAAAGTTTGTGAAGAGGGGCCTCATGTTAACTCCTGGGTACCTTTGTTAAGGTGAGCCGAACACTGCCCAGCTAAATTAGGAACACTTGACTTTCTGGTCTACAGAGTGAGTTGCAGAACAGCCAGGGCTACAGAGAGACCCTGTTGTAGCTGGCGTTAGCTACTTGGGGTGTTCCACCCTTATCCAAACTTGCTCCTTGGGGCAAGTTTGATCTTTGCTGTCAGGATGCCTAATTTCTTGCTTTTTTTGCATGCAACTACTCAACAGACTGCAACCAACAGCCCCCCTGAACGACCAACAAGCATCTACCTTGTTCCAGCATTTATGTACCCTCTGAAAAGTCTCCAGAATTCCAAATGTCACACAGTCACAGAAACTATCTGCAGCTGGCAAAATCACGCCTCTGCCAGAGCACGAGGCAGATCATAGCTACCGTGAAGCAGCCCTATATCCCCACACCTAGGATTAAGACAAAACATTCTTATGTTTGTGTGTTTTTAAAGAAACCAGAATTTTCACTACACCCTGTCGGAAAAAAACCAAACCACTTGACTGTGAGACACAGCAGTATTTTGCCGATTTCTGCCTTCCTACATGCTCCCATTTAGTGCTCTATGTATGCGGCCTTACTGCTGACCCCACCAGTTGTGCAAAACAGTGTAGGATACAAAAAGGGTCCCAGCTCCCCCTGAGCTGAAGCAAGCCATACACCTAGAAGCCAGCCCTCCGGAGACCGAGGCCCCACCCTGCCCTTTCAGTGTGGTATAAGACATTAAACAGGACAAGTCACCATGCCGAGGAGGGCAGGACAAGGACCAGGAACCAGGGTGCACAGCGACCCCCAAAGCAAAGCCAACAGCCCAAGTGAGCTTCAAATCTAAGCCTCTTGCATCTGGTTTGGCCAGAGCCTGGGTGAGGCTAGGGTCCTGGTTCCTGCCTAAATGCATCAAATCCCAGTTCTTTGTGAGGAAGGGAGTGGGAGTGAGTGTCCTCCCTTGCCAGCCCTGCTGAGGAAAGGGCCTCTCTCTGAGGACTTGTTGCTCTCCAGTGCTGTGCTCTTTGAGTTCTGTGCTCAGTTCTGGCTTGGCTGTCTAGGCAGCTTGGACCCTTGGCTCTCATCATTTGTGTGTACCCTAGGATGCTCCTGAACAGCTTCATCTCACCTGCAGCCATTAGGAGCCCAAGAGCAGAGCACATTTCAGAGCACTTGCGGGATGCTCTGGCTTATGTTGTTTATTCCAGCATTAGTGACAGAAATTGCATATACTTACAGCATATATGGTTTCAGATGTCTGTGATGGCTAAATGGAGCTGGTGACCAAAGGCATTACTTCAACGGTTATTGCTTGAGTAATGAGAACATGTTAAATCTTTTCGGTGGTTTCTGAGAACTTTTTTTAAGACAGTGTTTCTCCGTATAGCCCTGACTGTCCTGGAACTTGCTCTGTAGAACAGGCTATCCTCAAACCCAGATCCACCTCCCTCTGCCTTCCAGTGCTGGGATTAAAGCCATGTGTCACTATGCCCAGCTTATAATTGATTGGGAATTATGAGACTACTCCCATTGTTTCCACTTAGGGTGTCTTGGTGGGCTTTCTGAATGTTGACCCAAAGCTGTGCCCTTGGCTGACACCATCATCTCCACCAGGCCCTGCCAACTTCTGCTCTCTCAACCTCTAGGAATTTCACATTTAAGACTACACTATAAGTCCTGTGCTTGTCTCTGCACCTGTTTATTCCACTCAGCATAATGTCCTCCAGGCTCATCCATGTTGCTTCAATGTCAGCGGTTCATCTTTTCATGGATAGACAGTACCCTTCCTTTATCCACAGGACAACCCAGATGACACCATCTTAGATGTTGTGAACCAGGCTGCGGTAAACGTGGCACAAACTCTTCTGTAGACAGATTCTGTTTCTTTTTGGATAAACCCCCAGCAGTAGGATTGCTGGGGCACATGGTAGCTGTTTTTAATTTTGGAAGAGAATTTGTATACTGTTTCCCATAACAGTGGTTCTAATTTGCATCGCTCTGGGTCCTTGCCAGCGCATCTCTATCCTGGTAGGAGTGTGGGCACCTGACTCTGCTTGAGGGCATTTCTCCATGGTTAAAATGGCAATCAGGTTTTTCATGTGCCCATGGGCCACCCACATGCTCTGTGAGAAGCATGTTCTACTCCAGGTCCCTTTCTACTCTGAGTGACTTGCACACTGCTTCCTTTGCTGGCCGCAGCACCTGCAGCCACAGGGAAGCTGCAGCTCACTCTTGCCACGTGCTAGTCAGTGCTGATTGCTAAAGATGAAGATGAAGGCTGCTTTCCTTCATCTCGGCACCCAAAATTCAATCAAAACAAACACCCTCTACCCCACAAATAAAATAAAAACAACACGTTATCCTTTTGTTATAAGCCTTAAACTATGTGCCACCTACTGGTGGTTGAGTGTAAGGGCATTTCCTTCTCCTGTCTGGGCGTTTGTCTGCTTCTGGACAATCAGGTCAGTTCAGTCAGTAGTAAAGCCAGTGTCTCCTGAGCAAGTCAGCCCCACAGTGGTCTCCCCAAGAGCTCACGCAATAAAAACACAGGTTTACACAGTCCTTTCTTTTTAATAAAAGTTTACAAAATTCGGCACAGCCTGCTTGTGTATGCTCCTGGAAGAAAATAGTTGTCTCAGCCGATGACCAAGGGAGCTTCAGCCAGCTGTCCTGGGACACCCAGTAGGTGCTCTCCTTCCTCTATGCTTATACTCACAGTAAAGCTTGTCCCCAAGGCTGCTGGGCAGGGTCCAACACAGAGATACATATAACAGCTCAGGAAGAGCATGAGGGGAGCCAGGACAGGTTCTTGCAGGCGATCAGTTGCTATCTCCTGACTTCTGAACTCATGGGTCCAACTGTGAGCGAGGTAGAGCTCACCAGGCATTGGGTGCCAGCATACAGTGTCCCCAGCAACTCCATGGAGACTGGCTCTGCCCAAGGACATTCTCTCTGTGCACCCATCAGATCTGATTGGACAAGGTATGGGTTGACAGCGGTCCTAGGAAACTAACATGGATCTGGGAAATGGTGCACAGAATTCTCAGATTCCAGTACCAAAACAAACCAGTAAGAAAATGTAAAATATCTCAGAGGTACAAAGTACTCCTACTTTTAGCAAACACCATTATTCAAGAATGCCATCTTCAGGTTGCGTGGAGTAAAGATCTTTTTTGTGGGGTGGTAATGTAGTGCCTGTTTCCTTGTAGTGGCGTCTTCAGAAAGAGGCTGTAGGTGATCAGGCTGCCCTGCCTGCTGCCAGATGTCCCTGAGAGCTGAGAGGAGAGTGGTTATCAGGTACAAGTGTGACACTACAGAGACTTTGATGGGTACATTTGCACACGCTGGAGCCTCTCAGCGTTCTCTCCTTGGTCTGGATGTGCAGTTCAATCAGAGAAGCATCCAGGGAGAGGAATAAAGACAGAGGCCACTAGAGTCACCGACTCTGGCCCTGGTGGACTGTACAAGTTTCCACCCTCAGAGCCGCTGCTGGGCGCTGCCCTAGGTGCTATGGTGAAAGAGGGACACTGTAAATGTCTATAAATGTCAAAGGCGACTCAGACCTGCGTCCGAGGTTTCGGGCCTTCCAAAAAGCTAGGGGACAGTCTCCTCTGGCATCATGCCCTGTTACTTCATAGTGATGCCCTTTCTTGAGTGCTACAAAACCCATCCTCTGCCCCCATATATCAAGGGTGCAGCCCACCTCAGCTGGGTGTCTTCCCACAGAGAGCCACAGGGCTGCACCCTACACCTCTCCCTCCCCTGTGGCACATACTCCTGCCACTGTCTCACCATTATCTCCTGGGCACACATACAGAGCCCTTCCTGAAACGCCTGGTTAGTGAGCACCAGATCCAAGTCCAGAAAAGGCCCGCTCTCCCTCCCTGATAATAGCACCGGGTAGGAACAAGCCCCCTTTCCTGTTCTCTCCCTGCTAGGTCCTGCTGTGAGGATTTGATGGGCTGGCTGCAGAAGGACCCTCAGCTTGAGAGAAAGCCTGCTCCTCAGCATCTGCCAGCCTCTGACCCAACACAGTGACAGGCACCCTGGCCTCTTGCCTCCCATCCCCCAGTTCCTGGTCCTTGACAGTCTGAGGCATGGGGCTTCTGACTATGCTCACCTTGGTCTGGATCAGGGCTTTGCAGTGGTGTAGGCGGAAACTGCTGACTGCCAGCAGCTCTTCAGGCTTTCTGAGCTCAGAACTTTGCAGAACTTGACCCTGGCCTCCAGAAACACTCTAGGAAAAGAAACCTCTGTTACAGCACTGCCACTTTCATTCTAAAACAACAGTACTCTTAATTCTGGACTCCTTGGGCTCCTCAGAGGGTCAAGCCCATGGCCTCCCTCCCAGCCGTGCCTGCCACATGCTGAGTGTCACCTGGCTCAGGAGCCTCCAGAGCTGGGGTGCTCCTCAGCTTTCCTTGTGGCATGAATGTGTCTCTAAAGTTTAAGTGTTGTAAACCAAATTCCTAAGTCCATGTGTTAGTTGCATTTAGAGGGAAACTCTGGCAAGGAACTGGGATTAGAGGAGGTTATCAGAATGCTGCCTCCATGGTGGCATTGGTGGCTTTATGATCAGGGAGGCTAGAGCTGGCATGCTTGCTGTGTCTCACCTCATGATGCTGAGCCATGCTGTAACAGAGCAAGAAGCTAAAGCAGGGGCTAGTGCCATGTCTGTCTCCAGCCTCCAGAACTATGACCCACATGAATATGTAAATGTTATAAACTACCTGATTTTAGGTATTTTGTTACATCAAGAGGACTAAGACCCTGCTCAAGAGAATGTCTTCATCGCCATGGCACCTCCAGGAAGATCCTTCTACCCTGCAAGTTGCCTGGAGCTGTCACCCTGATGCCTGCCACTCTGGAACCCTACTTCCCAGCCTTCAGGTTCAATTCTTCCTGCACCACAGGGCCAGGCTGACCTCCTAGGTGGGGTTGGTTGGGTAGGGACTTGGGAAGTGCTCTTCTTCCTTCTAGTTCCTTAATTCCTGACCAGCCTGGTGTCCTTGGACTGACAAGGTAACTCGCCAGGGCAAAGCTGCCGTCTTTCTTGGCCTCTTGAACTTTCTCTATTTAAAGCTTTGCATAATATTTAAAAACGAAGAGACCTGCCATCTGACCTCTGGCAGGCAGCCTCGCTCTGAAGTGTAGTCTCTGGAAACTCATGGGTTTGACCTGTGCATGCTGATGAGACTTTCTCTCCTGCTGCTCTGCCCTGGACTTGGCTGTCCCCCACCTCAGGCATCAGGGTTTCTTCTTGGGATCACTATATGTTTAGAGGACCACCTGGTTGCCTCAACCTCCCCCTAAGCCACCTCCCAAGGTATGCACCAAGCTAACCCATGACATTGCTTAGGTGTCTCAAAGTGCCCAATTCCCCACATGCCACCTATCCAGGTAGAAGGTGCCCTCATCCCCAACCTGTGTGCTGCTGAAGGCCTGGGCCCACTCCCGTCACTGGGCCCCTGCCCACCCTTCTCCACCTGCTTCTGTTCCCTTTAGCATCTCCCCAAAAGTCCTACCACCCACAGGGTAGCACTTCATGACATTCTGCTCCGACACAGCATCCCCTCCTTCCACTAACTGCTGATGACCCACATGCCCCCTGTGCCCTCATGCTTGCTGCTGTGTCCTGGAGTCCTGCACATGTCTAAGGACAGCATGCTACCGAGGATGGATAGGCTACCCACCACGCTCACGCCATGCTCCAGTCTTCTTCTGAGAAGTGATACTAAGACCTTATGAAAGCTGGTCTTTGCAGCGCTGATGGCAGGCAGGTAACCCTACTACAGTCTGTGCTCAGCTCCACACACCCTGTCCCTGGCCATCGGTCTCCCCAGTGTGTCGTTCCAGTGTGGCTGGTCACAGTGCAGTCTCCATCTCCTGGGTAAGATTTCTTAAATATGAAAAACCCCTACAGGCTCCTATGTTGGGGGTTGCTGCCAGCTGATGGCTTTTCAGAAGTGGTCAGATCCTGAGGGCTCTAACTTCATGCTTGTGTTAATCCACCAACCGGTTCATAGTCCAACAGCATTACTGAACTGATGGAAATTTGAGGAGTAAGGCGTGATTGAAGGAAGTGAGGCGCAGGAGGTGTGTCCTTGAGGGCTGTATCTTGCCTTGGTCTCTACCTGTGACTGTTTCTGCAAATTCACTACCACACTTTGCTTCTGTGACCCTCTTCCTCCCACCACAGACGCAGAAACACAGAACCAACCCACTGTAGGCTGAAGATGTTAAAATATGAGCCAAAATAAAACCTTTTTTTCTCCTCCAGTTATTGTGCTTGGGCATGTCACCAAAATAAGCAAGGCCCGACTACCACCTGCCCCGGGCCTACTTACCTTCTGAGCAGTATCTATGCCAAGGACAGGAAAGAGGTTTTCCCAACAGTGAGATTCACTCCAGAGACACGGTGAAGCAGACACAGTGTCAATGTTCTGAAGGACTCTCCAGAGGTTCCTAGATTCAGACCTGGGAGAAAGATGCAGTCATGACAAGAGACTCTTCCAAGCAGATTGCTAAATCCGAGGCCCCCAGCAGATGGCACCTGGCCTTTGAGAACTCAGAAGGCCCTGCCAGAAGATCTGGGCTCTCCTCTGTTGTTAACCCAAGCACTGACATCAACCTGTCTATCTGTCCACATGTGCCCTCCCTATGTATCTTCCAAGAAAAGCCCTGAGGCAAGACTGAAAAGCCCTGTGGCCATACTGGTCACAGTAGATGCATATAAACCAGCGTACAAATTCAGGAGAATCAATGAAGAAACACATAGAGGAATGTGGACTGTGGCCATGTTAGTACTGCATACCATGTGCACTGAGCTCATGAGAAATAAAATTATATCCAATAGCTGCGAGGCCATACAGGATGTCAAATTCTGGGTCGTCTCCATTTTCCAAATACTCAAGTGTCTCTGAACATACAAGAACGTTCCACCCTCAAGCACTCACCCTGCCGTCTCAGAGTGTCCGGCCTTGCCAAGCCTGACACCGGGTCACCTGGGCCTCTGAAGAGTTGACGGTGGCACAGCCACCCCTAGCCTGCTGGGGCTGCCCTAGGGTGGCTCTCCCAATAGGCTATGCTTTACAGGAGCCCCGGGCAGCTGGGCACTGTTGGTCACAGCCTTCTGGGCTCTGGGCCTAAAGTCCCAGGTCTCTGTGGAGGGTCTTCTGGGCAGGTTCTGGGTTGACCCACACATGGTGGTCATAATGGAGAAGACAAGAGCTCAGAGTGGCAGAGTTGTGACAATGCCCAGGCCTGCTCAGGCATACTGAAACCCTGACACACACCAGCCAGCTTTCCCTGGACCTTGGGTGACAGAGAGCCTACCTTCTCTTCACTTGGCATCTGAAAACAATGTCCGAAAACAAGGACATCTCAGGCCCTTACCACTGTCACTGTCAATTGACAGCACGTCCCTAACCTGGCCAGCCAGACACTCTGTGTGGCTGTCTCCAAGAAGCATACACAAGATAACCCTGAAAGTCAGTGGCTGCTCCTGGGGTGCTTCCTCTAACTGTGGCTGAGGGTCACAGGTGTCAGGTACCACTGAACCGAGCCCCTAGCAGCAGCTCTGAGAGGCCACACCAGCGGCGCTACTGGAGTATCCATACATGCTGCTGCTCCCTCTGGAATGCTCTGAGCCACAGGTGGCCACAGGCACAAGTACAGGTACCCTCTAGGAACAACCAAAAAGCTTTGTTTACTTTAGCAAACAGAAATGTTAAGACTCTGTGACATCACTCAGTTCCAATCTAAATTCATTACCACAGTGTAGGCACAGATGCAAGGCCAGCATTTCCTTCACTGCTTATTTCTAAGAAATGTTCTAATGAGCAAACGTCTTCAGTTGCCTGTTCCACCGGGACTTCTTGAAACGCAAACCTGAAAACCTTCTCATAGCTGAGAAAGGACTGGAAAGAAAGAACATTCCAATGTTAGGAGAAACTTATACATTAGGCAACCTCATTCCAAATACTTGACTTTAACATAAATGCATCTTGTCCCTGGCTGCATGCTCAGTTGGGGTTGCCATCACTGATAACATCATTCCTCAGAATCTCTAGGCTATGTAAAAACACAGTGAAAACCATGGGCTTGCAGAAAATGAGTGCACAACTAAAACTTTGTCAGGGACATGTGGAGAAGGTGGCATCTCAACACTGCCTTTCCCACGTCAAGGGGCTGGGAAGTCTGTATGGATGACGGTGGAAACACTTCACCTCGCAAAGGCTCGGAGTCAGGTGTGGTGGTGTGCACAGGGCTGAGATGGGTGGTGGCAGAGAGGGGCTGGCAGGTGTCTGAGGTTTGGCGTGTTCTGTATGCCATGTGCTGCACACATTCCTACACTCGCCCAGTGTTCTCTGTAAAATCCCGCTATGCACAAATGTTGCCTAACACTTCAACCATGCTGAAGAAAATCCTCGATTCAGAACAAAAATTAAGGTGTGGTCCTCATTGGAGGTGCAGGGAAATGGGTCTCAATAGCTGAGTCTACCCAGCAGCACCTTTCTCTGTTTATTTGTGTTTGGGTCGAGCCACCGGGAAGGAGAATGGCTCAAACGCAGTCAGAGGCAGTCAAGGAAGCAAAGGTGTGGTCAGCTGAGGGCTGTGTGGGACCCTCAACTAGCACAACCTGGTTCAGTACTCAGAACTGAACTGTGATAACTGGTTTTCAGGTCTGAGAATTTCTAAACCTGCAAATTCAGGATTCCCCACGTGCCCTCAACAGGATCGTGCAAGCGCAGTTGAGGCCTCAGGAGAAGAGTTTGGAGAAAGCTGCCCAACGTGTTCAGATCCATTTCTGTGGAGTCCCCTGGCCAAGCCCTCCACCCCTTCTCCTCTTTGTTTTGTTTTGTTTGTTTTTCAAGATGGAGTTCCTCTATGTAGCCTTGGCTGTCCTGGAACTCCATCTGTAGACCAGGCTGGACTCCAATTCAGAGACCCACCTCTGCCTCCCAAGTGCTGGGATTATAGGCAGGTGGTGCCCAGCTTCCTTGTCCTCTTCTTAAGCAGAGGACAGCCAACCACACAGCAAATGACAAACTAGGAGAGAAGAGGGGACTCTAAGGCTGGCAGGGCCCCGACACCCCCGAGTGCACAGAGGCCTGGGCAAACTCTAATGGCCATACAAAACACTTCCCACTCAACCACAGAAATACCTCTGAAGATGGGTCAGCAGCAGTTCCTGTTACCCAGGGTCCATGCACCTGGCAAGAACCATGCTCTTTTGGGATGGAAGGGGTTCTCAGCGGCTGAAGTTCCGCAGCTCTCCCTAGGAGTTCAAAAGACTGAGAAAAATGCTCAGGCTTAGCTGAAGACTCCTGGAAGCCTTTGAACTCGCCCCACCCGCTGCTGAGCTCCCCCGGGTGCGGACAGTTGAGTGTGCAGGTGGGAAGACCCTTTTCCAGCCTGGAGCTGCCAGCTTTCGCGTCAGGCAGAATCAGGGGACCGTCGCAGCAGATCCTCCTCCGTTCCAAACCGCCACCACTCTGTCCTCTAGCTGTCTGGCGGAGGGACCCATCTCCAGGTTCTCCTGCGAGGTCACTCACTGACCCTCTCCCCACATCCTGCCCACCTTGCATCTTGGTGTGGCCAGGCCAGCCGATCCGAAGGAAGGCTGCTCAGAAGACATGCAGCTGCTGAGATGGAGTTGCCCAGGGCTTCCTGGGAGTGTTCACGTGCCTCTGTGGAGTCGACCCCTTCCTGGCACGAGAGGGTGACCAGTCCAGCACGGGGGCGTGTCTTAGGGCCAATCAAGTGAGGCGAAGGAAGCCCGGGGGGGGAGGGGGGGACAGACGCACGTCCTGGTGGATGGGCCTCAGAACCGGGTCTGCGAGGCCGCTGGCTGAGGGCAGGGAGCTCGGGGATCGCGTCCCAGGCGGGAGTCTTGCGGGCTCCAGGACCAGGTCCGAGGCGCAGACGGCGGGTGGTCCTGGGCTCACACAGGCCCGCAAAGCGCTCACCCTCCTTCGCCGCCGTGACGTGCCTCCCGGCGCCTGGCCGGGAGATACCCACGGCCAGCTTAGCCAGCAGTCAGCGCCGCGCGTTGCCCGGCAACGATGAGCGCCCGCAGGCTTCCGGCGTGTTTTGCGTGATGTCAGCACGCCACCGCGTGGCGTGGCCAACAGCGCCCCGCCCACGCCCCGCCCTCTCCGGCCCCTTTCGGGGCCGCAACTTTGCGGAGTGGTGAATGCTGCTCCACTGCTGTTGGGGTTCAGCCTGTTACCCAAGCCAGCCTCCCTGCCTCCCCGGCCTACAGAAAACTGCGGGAGCAGTTTTCATTTTGCTTTGGCGCCCGGTGCCCATGTGATCGATGTGGCCCCGCAGTCGCATACCTGGCCCATGAGTAAAGCCACTGCCATAGGGCTGGCCCCTCAGCCCACACCCTCCCACTCTGTTTGGCCCTGGTTCCTTGCGCTCTTGTTGAATGCTTTCTCAAGACCTGCGGCCATGAGGAAAAAGTCTGCCTCCCTGATTTAGCTCAGTCCTAGATCACTCTCTGTTGGTCGCGGATGAGTCTACTGTAGAGCAGGAGAGCCACTGTCTTCCCTCATGTGCTCACAATCTGGGCCTGGTCACCAGCCAGTTCCAAGACAGAGCAGGGCAAGGCTTGGTCATGTACAGGCTCCTGTGCTGAGGGAGGGCCTTGACCTTGCTGCTCTCCCAGACCCCAGCCTTCAGCATGTGCCATTTCTACCCAGTCACCCTGGACTAGCAGCCATCACCAGCCTCCCCTGGGAGAGTGGTGGGCCTGGCCTGCATCTAAACCCAGCTGCAGGCCCCGTCCCCTATCATCAGGTTTTCTCCTGCCCTGCACCTGCCTAGGCCCAGCCCCTTGCATGACTCACCCTTGCCTCCTCAGAAGAACTTTGGGAAAAGTTGATTTAAAAGTGACAAGATGAGATCATTCTCTGCGTCTTGGACCAGAGCCCTTCCCCATTCCCCTGGGCAGACCAGCCTGGCACTGAGCTTGCAGGCACAGAGCTCAGGGCTAGGTCTTGGCTCAGCCATTCCAAATCGCACTGTGGCCCAGCAGGATGGCGTCAGACACCGTCTGTGTTTACAGACTCTGGCTTCTGTTTGCCTCATTATGACCCAGCAGGTCCTGCTCTCTGTCCATCCCCATACCCTAGTTCTCCTCACCTACTACCCTTGCTGTACTCAAGGGCCAGGGAACTGGAAGGAGGTAGGAAGACTGAGGCCTCGGAAAAGGAGTCGGTCTGGGCTGTTCTTCCTGCCGTTGGTACCTCCCCACGTCTGTTTAGGTCTCAGCTTTGCTACATGGGAGGGGTGAAGACTTCAGAACACAGAAGTTCTAGTTCTGCGTTCACAGGCTCAGGTTGAGTGATCTGAGCGGCCAGTGAGTCAGTTGAATGATAGTTCCCAAAGATGTCCACGGGCTAATCTTCAGAAGCCATGAATCTGGAACCTTATAAAATGGATGTTTTTGTTTGTTTTTTAATTAGACTAAAGTGGGGATCTGAAGATGTTGGAGACAGTTTTGGGTCATGCAGCTGGGTCCAGGGGAAACAGGTCTCTATAAAGAGGCAGCGAAGCTGGGTGTGGTGGCACAGGCCTGTCGGACTAGCACTGGGACAACAGAGATAGGAGGATCAACAGTCAGAAGCCAGTCTAAGCTACATAGTGAGTTTGAGGCTAGTCTGGGCTAAATGGTGAGTCCCTATCTAGAGGAAGGGAGGTAGGTGTGTGAAACCTCCTGCTGGAGAACAGGAGTGCAGCTGTCCCAAGCCCAGAGAAGCTGCCCTGCCAACACCCAAGAATGACACAGAGAGCACATGTCATTTTAATCTGGTCCATTAGTGATATTTTAATAGCAAACATGGTCAACCAATAGACCTAGGTGAATCCTGGAGACCACTAAGGAAATGCTGCCCTGAGGAAGGAGCAGAGGCAACCCTAACATTGGTGCCTCATGCTGACTGAAGGAGGAAGTCACACAACCCACGTAGGTGGGCAAAGGAGGCAGCAACTCTGGCTCTGTTAGGGCAGAGTGGGCAGAGGGTAGAAGGCCCCTGAAGTCAAGGTGGGAGAAGATGGGCTGTGAGTGCCGAGTGGCCACGAAAGGGCAGCGCCAGGGTGCTCGGAGAAAGAGCCCTACCTCTTCCCCTCACTTTCCCTAATCCTTCTGCCAGGGGAGGTGCTGCTTTGCCCAAAACATGCAGTCAGCCTGGTGCCTCCCAGGGTCGCCTGAAAGAAAGGACTGTGTGGACAGGCGTCTCAGAAAACACTGGGCTCTTCTGGTGAGGCGGGAGGGTCACATCCCTGCCTCTGTGCCTGTGGTTTCTGGACAGTACGGTTCATGCTGAGCTGCCCCAAGTCTCAGGCTGGCCTGCTTAGCCCACTGCTATGGGGCAGCCACCCAATATGCCTCCACATCTCTCTGTGTGCTAATCCATGCACTGAGCTGCATGGATACAGAGGTGGAGAGGACCTGGGGGACCACACCCACACCTGACAAGAACTCAGCATCGGGGAAGAGGCCTCAGTTAGAGGCAGGGCCTCTGGGGTCCGGGAAGAAAAGGGCTCCAGGCAAGGGCCTCCCCACCCGCTTAGGACAGCCTTCAGCCGGTGCAACTGCAGGCCTGAACCTTCCCCATTGTCAGAGTAAAGGACTGAAGCAAGTGGGGAGAGTGGTCACAGACGCCACCACTTCCCTCGTGCCTGTGGGCTGGGGTGGGGCAGGGCCGTAACGGTAGCAAAACTATGTTTGCCGTGATGCTGCAGCTGCTGCAGTGATACATACATCAATCGTTGATGCTCTGTGAGTCATGGCCAGCCTTCCTGGGGAAGCCCTGGACCACCGGCTCAGGCAGACGGGCAGGGGCCACGACCACGCCAGGCCTGACCCTTTCTCGGTCCCTGGAACCCAGCTTGTGGCGGGGTGCTGGAGATCATGGGGTTTCACAGAGCTGCACAGCACCCCTGGGGTGCTGTTTAAAGGAGCCACTTCTGTGTGCTGGCTGCAGCTGTGAGTCGGAGCATCTCCCCACACGCTGGGGAGGAGGTCAGTTCCTGACTAGAGCCTGCTGCAGGAGCCTTCCCTAGCAGGGCATCTGTCCCCAGAGAACACGGGAGGAGGCTGGAGTGTGGTGACAGGAACTCCTGGCAGTGCACTGCTCTGCAGCAGGAGATGGCCAGGCCTTAGCCTGGGGGAAGGGACAGCAGATGGAGGGGAGCAGGTCCCCCACCACATGCATTTTCCTTCCTGCTCCTGTTCACCATGATCCCAGGGCCAGGTTCAGGCTTCCAAATACCACTCGTAATGGAAGGGTCTAGGTGGGCCCTGGGGAGCAGAGCCTGAGCCATGGTGTCCACCCATGCAAGTGCAGCCTGGCCTTTGCCACAAGATCTTCCAGAGGCGTGGTGAGTGAGGCATCACCCACGACGCCCCAGGAGCACTGCTCAGGGGTGAGCAGCTTGCCCCTTGTGTTCTGCTGTACATACCCATGCACATGGGCCTGACTGTATGCTCAGGAGTGTGTGTGCATGTCTGTGTAGACCAGGACAAATCCAAGCTGGCCCGAGGCGTGTGTGTTGGTGTGAGTGTGTGGTCTTTGTTTTTCTGCCTGTGCCTCTTCTCTGAGGTGGAACACTCTCAAGCCAAGGTCCCTGTCGCTCACATGGTCTGTAGTCTGACCTCCAGTCTAAGGGGGATCTTCCAGGAGCATGGCAGCTGGAGTCCCCATGTTAGGTCTCACCTTGCCTTGATAATCAAGCTGCAGCGCAGTGCTAGACTCCCAGCAGAGAGGGTAGGGGAGAGTAGGAAGGAGCCCTTGGGTTCCTGCCCCGAATCCTGGGTCTGGGACCTAAGGCCACCTCTGGACTTGCAGCATGCTCTCTGGCTGGCAGTGAGCTTGGTGGTGAGCAGCCTTGCTCTTTTCTCAAGCCCTGCCAGAGCAGACACACTGGCCACGCATGGCTGGGTTCCGGTCCCTTCTCACTAGGTCAAGAGTATACAGGCCCAGTGGAGGTACCCTGAATCACATCCACTTCCCCACAAATGGGAGCCACCACAGCCCCGGTGGACCACGCTGGACAATCCGAACACGTCAGAGTCTGGGCCCTCAGACCACTTTACCATGTTGCCCAGAGAAGAGGGACACTGCCGGGGTCCTCTGCACTGGATATCTCTGGTTATACAAAACTGTACTTTGTTCCTAGGCCCTTGTTCTCGGGCCCTGAGAGTCAGGTTTCAGACACACTGGATTGGCAGGCTGAGACCTTCCAGCCTACGTGGCAGACGCAGAGGGGTACCCGTACCCACAGGGACTCGGCAGCACTCTTCATCCAGGCACTCCCCCACGGAGAGGGTGAGACTCCTGTCCCACCAAGGCAGGGCCGTGACCCATTCAGCAGTGGGAGAAGGCTGCCACGGCTCCTTCCCGGCACTGACTCGTGTCTGTCCGACCTGTGTGCTGCTGGCAGTTTGCCCGGCACTGCAGCCCAGCTAACGGGAACTGCCGAGAATGAGTCACCCCAAGGCTCACGGGCTTACCTGGGCCCTGACTGCTGAGGGCAGTTCCCGCTTGTACCTAAGACGGTGTGCACCTGTGCATGCGTACCCGTGTCCTGCTATGCTCATCTGTATATGTGGGTGCATGTGTGTGTGTGCTCTCTCTCTCTCTCTCTCTCTCTCTCTCTCTCTCTCTCTCTCTTGGGCTAGCCTGAGCACGTGACTTTGTTCCTGTGTCCGTGTGTGCTCCTCTGCTGCGCCTTAGCTTTTCCCACCCTGGGAAAGGTGGTGCGCACCCTCTGCCCACCTCGCATGGCCAGCTGGCTGCCAGGAACAGTCTTCTCCCTCAGGTCTGTAGCAGACAGGGCTCAGCCAACTCTGCTTCTGTGGAAACAGAGCTCTTGGACCTTTCCCTCCCACAGATATGTTCCCTCTGCATGGTGCCCGAGCAGAGGCCAGAGAGACCCTGCCCTCCCCGGTCAAGGCCTTACCCAATCATCTTAGCAACCAGAATGTCCCGGGATCCATGAAATCCCACCCAGTCTCACTGCCCTAGTCCAGCTGCTCTTGACTTCCAGCAGACCTCCCCCA